ATGAGCCTCCAAAACCCATCCCCGTCTGAAACCCCTCCAAACAAAACCTGAAGAATCCTCAACTTATATGCTGCAGCCTGCAGATCTTCAACACATAGCATCAGCATTCGTCTATTTCTTCTTCAAGCATCATGAAAGTAAAATGCAGGAATCTCCAAGGGTGGAGACAATGTGGCAACATGCTTGTACTGTATACAAAAGTGGAATGACTTTTGTCAGAACATGTAGATTTTAGGGTATGTTTGGATCTTGGAAAATGCTAGAGAATGAGAAAATTTTAAGAAACTCGTTTTTGTGTTTGGTTTTACCACTAATATATAAAGAGAATGAGATAACTAATGCTTTAAGATAAATTTATCGTGCCTTCCCCACAATTTGCTCTTTCGAATATTTGTCTATATTTTTAGGGAGTATGCTCTAAGCAAACCTTTACATGAAAGGAAATCTCATACATGACAGTTGGAAGAAATCAAGCTAAGAGTGAAAGTATGAAGTGTTTCTCACCTACATTGCTTAAAGCAAACCAAACCATACCTTGTGATCATGGTACTTTTCCCCCACTGCAGATCCCACTCTTTTGCTCAATTGCATTTCATGTAATGCAAGAACGCAATCCTTCAATTTGGATGCCCTATACCCTGTATATTGTTGAAGTGCAAAACTCTACAAACACAAAATAAATGGACATTACATATTTAGCTTAACTGAAATACATAACCCCATTAATGGCAACTTAAAGAAGGTTTACCCAAGGATGAAGTGTTGGTTGGATTGTAAGTCTTGCCAGAAAAACAACAGATGCAGCAATCAGTGATGGCACATACTGGAGACACCGATAATCTAATAGGCTTAGCTCCGCAAGAAAACAACACAAGAATTCAAATTCCAGTGTCGAAAACTGGAGAAGGGTTCAGCAAGTTATTATAATTTCAGGAAAAATAATATAATAGCAAAGCACCACAGCAAGGACAAATGTACTCCATATACAATAATACAAGTTATGTTTGCTTACCTTAGTGTTATCTTGAGCAGGTTTGGTAAAGATCCTGTCTCCAAAAAAGTTCCCATTAGCAAAGCAACACAAGGTGATACAAGAATAATAAGAACATAAAAGCAGAAAATTATGGGTATAATATTTAATTTTCTAATTATTACTCCCTCCCATCCACAATAAGTGACGATTTGAAAAGAGTGAGTCATTTAAGAGAGAAAAACTAAAAGAATACCCCTGTAGTAACATCTATTTATTATTAAAGATCAATAAAGAAGGGGAAAAATGTTAAATACTTAAACACAATCTTGGTTTTATAGAAAGAGACTTAAATAATAATGGTATTACTATCTCCGTCTCAGCTTAAGCTTCTCGTTGAAAAATGACACGGTATTTAGACAACAACTAAGTAAGCTTCTCGATTATATTTTGAGAAATAGTTTTGATGGATGTATAACTTCATAAGGTACTAGTAATAGATAAAAACTGCGATATTGTAGTGTAGGGTATTATTTTTAATATTTGATGATTAAATTTTGGTTTAAAAGTGCTACGAGTAATTAATTCCTAAAATAGAAATGTGGAGCTTTAGGTGGGACATTCAAAAGATGCAAGTAAAAAGAGCAATGTGAATAAAATGCATTTGGGCTTTAAGAAAACTATATTTTTAGTCTTGAATTGTAAAACACAAGCAAGTGAAATCCAAAGTGATTAAATCAATATCAACCTGAGAAAAGTTTTTGCCGTGGGGTTGGCAGTTTCAAAGTCTAAGAACTTAAGGAGGTCTCTCTCCATGAGAACAACCTAACATGAAAGACAGGTACACTTACACATTTCAATCCAGAGCATTATTGGAAATCCAAACAAAACCAAAATCAGAGACATACAAACTTACCTCATCTTTAGTGAATGTATTGTCTGTGATATACACAAAGTCTTCAGCATGTGGTGGCTGAATCTCTTCATATTTTCTGCAAAGTTAAATATGTTTAGTTGGTACACTAGTATGAAGGATATAAAGCCCACCAATTGTAATTAATAAATGAGAGCCTCAGCTCTCAATAACTTACGAGGCCACAAGCATACAAGAAACACCCAGAAGCTGAAGCTTTGTTCTGTTCAGAGTACGGAAAGAAAGGAATCTGTCAATGTACGAGACTGTGAGATGAAGCGTATCTGACATTAGTCTGTATTCATCAGCGACTTCCACCAACCAATCAACTAAAACAAATCTCATGCTAGGAGATATATCATTTTGAACCTTCTCCATGTAATTTGCCAGAGGCCGTCTCTTCTCCTCAACCTACACAGGAATTAGACATTTCCAATACCCTATTTTGCAGAAAGCAAGAAAAACTAACAAATGAATGACAAATTGCAGCAATATATACTGAGCAGGTAGCGCTGGTACCAACCTCCATGGAATGAAGATGGAGATAGATGAGAGGTGCGTAGGAAGACTTTTGAGTGTTATCAGGAGTGCAATTCTCATCGTCATTAGATCCAGCATCTTGTGCTTCCTGGCTGCTGACCTTCTTCAATGCGGGTCCGGATCCGAGCTCCTGGTTTTTCCGTTGATCTGAGTTCTGAGCGGAGCATTTGTTGGTGATGTCTCCCAATACCACACGCTTCTTTGTGGCCGGAAGCCCTAGAACTTGGAAGGACTCGTTTCCTGTGGACCCCAATGCGGTATTCCTCTTCGATCTCCTCCCAGCGACCACGACATTATCACCTCCACTCATCATAAATTAACTAGGGTTTTCGAGTAATGTGGGATTCGGGATACATGTAACAATGGAGTTCAACAAAATTCAGATGGTTGAGCTCAAGCCTTTTTTTTCTCTAACAGAGAGAGGGCTGACCGGCTGATAGAGATAGAGATTTGTAAAGAGAAAGTATGAGAAATGGCGGGAATATTAGCCGCCTTTTTTGGTTTATATCTGTTCAATTCAAAAACAAAGTCGGAGCCCACATTTTTGTTTTACGAATTATTTGTCCTTGCGGAGTTGCGGTAGATTCCTTCTAACTTTTTGACCTAAAGATGTTTATTACACAGTTTTAGGGAGTACAAAAATTATAAAAATTATATTTCCTCACAAAATTTGTGTACATTTGTCTGTAACTATTTGTGCAAATAGACTATGCGTACATTCCCTTCCATGGACACAATCACACAGATAACCCGTGCACCAATTGTCTCGTGTATACACAATTATGTAAAGATGTTTGTTCAATCTAGTTTGATCTCATCTTGTAATTGTCTTATTTACGAGTATTTTACTACGTAGTCGTCTATATTGCTTAAACTTTGTCGTGTTTGATCCATTCTAATCTAATATGTTTAAATTTGATTTGCTTAAATTTAGTATGAAACGGAAATAAATCCATTATAAACATTCAGGGGTGTAGCAGGGGGGGGACCCTGGTTCTGTCTCATCCTAAATTTTAAAAATGCCTACTCCCTCCATCCCCTTTTAAATGGGACGGGAGATGGTGACACGGGTTTTAAGAAAAGTGAGTTTGTGTGGTTGATATTAATTGATAAAGTAAGAATAAAGTAAGAATAATTTTGAGCCACACAAAGTTTACCAAATAAGGTACGGGGCAATTAAATAGGGACATCCCAATATGGTAAAATGGGACATTTAAAAGGGGACGGAGGGAGTATATTTTTATTTTTTGAGATAAGGGTCAGATAGGGTCTCGAACTTGAAAAAAAATGTCAAATAAGGCCATAATTAGGATGCTCTGTCCGGCCGACGCCATTTGGGGTGGTTCCCGGTAGAATTTTTTTATGAATTTTTTTGAGAATCTTATTCATTAAGTCTAGTTTACTCATATCAAATTTGAACTAAAACTTTAATCGGGAAGGCATTCAAATGAATTCTTGAAGATAACTGTACCGTTAAAAGCGCAGTTATCTTCATGAATTCATTTGAATGCCTTCCCGATTGAATTGTTAGTTCAAATTTGATATGAGTAAACTAGACTTAATGAATAAGATTCTCAAAAAATTTCATCAAAAAATTCCACCGCGAACCACCCCAAATGGCGTCGGCCGGACAGAGCATCCTAAATATGGCCTTATTTGACATTTTTTTTCAAGTTCGAGCCCTTATCTGACCCTTATCCCTTATTTTTTTAAAAAATCCTTGTAATTTCCCCCCGAAAAATACCCTTTGTATCAATCATGTCCGACCCGGTGCTCTGGCTCCGCCCCTGTAAACATTATAAGTTGCAACTATCGATACTATTTGAGGCTATTAGATATTTGGATCATTCAAAGGCCTTTTGAGTTTGTTTTACAGCAGCAAAAAATAGTAGTATGTGCTATGGTTGTTTTTGTAGTATTATGAATTTGGTAAGATCAATGCATAAAATTCTTGTAAAAACTTAACAAACGAAAGTAGGGCTGTTTCTCAAATGAAACTTCCGTGTAGGCATGGAAGTATGGAACCGACCCGGCCCGCTACTGTGCGGGACTGGCCCGGCCCGGAAAACCGGTTCCGGTACCAGGCTTAAGCCCGGCCCGAGGGAGTTACCGAGGGCAGTTCCGGGTCATGAAAAGGGCGAACGGGCCCAGTACGGGCCTTTTGGGGGGGGGGGGGGGTGGGTTTAGGTGGGCTGGACTGGATGTTTCCGAGGGTTTGTGGGGATGGGGTTTGAAATAAATAAGAAAACACAAAAAAAAAAAAAAAAAAAAAAAAAACGGAACCAGCTCGACCCGGAACCGGTAGAATCCCGGGCCGGTCCCGGGCCTTACCCAAAACCATCCAAGCCCGGCAGGGCCCAGGCCTGAACTGGGCTCGGTCCACCCCTACTTCCATCATTCCATGTAAGGCTGTTAAGGGTAAGGAGAGTACCGGAGCTTTAAGCGGGTAAATCAATTGCAGGTCAGTTCCGTCAGATTCTATTTCCAATGCTGTTTCAGTCCGTTTCTGTATCTAGACTATCGGTTGTGATCAGTGATCCTATTCTGGGGGAATTGATGTGGAAAACTAGTACCAAAATACTCCAGAAAACATTCACAAGTCACAACCCCCCATCTTTATCACTAGAAACTAGATCAATTTGCGGAAAACCAATTTGTTAATGGAGCAATGACTTGAGTCAACATAAGTATATACAAATCATATTCAAAAAGCAAAGAAAAGAAACAGATTTTAAAGTTACAAATTACAACATCAAATAAAAATTGTTAATCGACATTACCAAATAATAGTCATGCTTTTACTAATGGCGATTAGACAAGGTTCCTTGCCAGAGCCAATGGTACTTGCAGGCTTATAGCCAAAGTTCAGGTTAACATTACCACCTTACCTAGGGAAAGACGTTGAGCAAATCAGAAGCTTTAGTGTCGGCTGTCCCTGTAAATCGAAGGCAAGATTGCCACTAATCTGATGCCTAATGAGACATTATGAGAGAGTTAGGCTATCAACTTGCATCTGTTGCTGTAGCATGCCTGCCTCGGATACTTCTTCAACCACCCACGTCTCATCATCATTTCCACTTTAACCGAGACAAGTTGGCAGTTGTTCCATGGTATCACCCATCCATTGCAAGAAGTGTCCTTTGACAATATACAGGTGGCGTCTTTGCTTCGGGGGGAGGGGGGTGTCAAAGTACAACTTCCGTTACGTTTGATTCGTAGCTTGGTTTGTTGATGAGTGGTGAAAGCTCCAGCGAGCATTTTCAAACCATTTATTAACCTGCACCATGCATAATCTAAAGGTAATAGTAATACATGGATAACCGAACAAAAATAACACCGAAATTCAAAGAATACAAAAAGTAGGGGCCTAGTCTTGCACCGGCACGGGGTCACAAATAAACCATTTTTATTCAATTCTAGTTTTATTTAGGGAATGATTAAATCCCATGAAATGCAGGGTTGATGACAAGAAAAATTATTTTCTTGTGCTTGGTTTTCCTTCCAAGACCAAAAGGATAATGAAATATGATTAATTTTTGAAGTTTCAAGTATCTTTAGATTATTTGTCTATATATATTAAGGAACCTTTTAAAGCAAATGTGCACCCCCCCCCCCTCCCCCCCGACAGAATGACAGAAAACCTTGCTTTCTGTCCCATGTCTGGGTCAAATGAAACAACTTTCTAGAAAATGGTCATCAAGAAAAAGAATCGGTATTTTAGTCTACAGATGAAAAAACAAAATAACAAAAAGAGAAGACAAAAAGGAAAAGATACGATGAGGAAATAGAATGGTTAGAGATTGTTTGTAAAACCATTGGATTGTTTGTAGTTGTATTTTGTTAAAAGGGATTGTTTGTTTGATAATTGGCAAATATATTGGACGGATGCACTATTTCGAACTCCTGAATGGTCTTAAGATTTACAGGAATTTACAGGAATGGAATAGAGAAACGCACACAAAGTGTGTTTATAGTGGTATTTCATTAGCCAACAAAAATTTCTGGAAAATTGGTAAATAAAAGGTGTTCAGATCAATTTTATTTCCTTTCTTCCCAAACCTAGGAAGCAGTCTAAACCGCTAGCCTCTAGTGATGCCTTTTGTATTTTAATAGTTTGGGGAAGGGAGAAAGAGCACCTCTGGGGTCATCCACGACAAACACCTATTTTGAGCCCGTTTTGAAGGAACTTGACAATTTTCAAGTAAAAATCAAATTTTTGAAAAAACTTTCAAAAGAAAATAGCAGGAAAATATGTTTAATACTCCCTTTGTCCCATTTTGGTTGTCTTACTTTCTTTTTTGGGCTGTCCCAAAATGAATGTCCAGTTACCTTTCTTGGCAAGAAATATGTGGTCCTTATCATTTCATTTTATTGTACTCAAATCTCAACCACAACTTTTACTTTTCAACCAATTTATTAGTAATCATGCCAAACTAAAAGAGTAGGGTAGTAGCATTTTCTCCTATATTTCTGATTATATTTTCTTTATCTGGCATATTCCAAGTTCCAAATGGATCCTTTAATAGTACGCCGTATCTGAAACTGAAAGCAATAAAAGTAACCATGTATCATAGCCTAGCAGATAGGAGAATATTAATGCACCTGCTGGATTGTCAATCCTAATTCTGCAACTAATTTTTCCTTGAGAACACGATTTGGGTATTGATTTTCCTTGAAGCATTCAAAGAGCCTCTGCAAGAAACAGATAATCTTTTAAGTATCATAACCAACAAACTAGTGAAATCAATAAATGTGGAGGGATAAAAGTTCCAAAAGTCTAAGGATAAAAAAGACAATTGTTCAACACAAATAGAATCATCATTTGGTAAAGGTTAGTTTGGCTAAAATTGATGAAATTGCTGAAAGCCGGAAACTACTGATTGCGGCATATATTTTTATGAAGCTGCTGGAATTCCTGACTTATGGAAATATAAAAAAGTATTTAAAATATATTTTAATGACGAAAATAAAGCAGAAGTATATGAAAACGCTAAAATGATAATCCCTAGTAAACTCTGCAAAAAAGTACTTCAACTAAAAGCCCTATTTTTTCATTATTAACAAACTTGTTATAGGCAGTGAAATAAAATTAGTACTAGTATTTCGTAACAAATCTTGCTGGAAGGATCATTCATTCATCATTACCCCAGTGCCGCAAAGGTTCCCACCTTCGGTGGGGTAAGGGGGGTCAGATGTACGCAGTCTTACCCCTATACTAAAGCACAAAGAGATTGTTTCCGGATGACACATAGTGAAAATTGCGTCGAAAATTGAATGGATTGACTGATACTTCATAACAAAGAAGTCATTTTGCTTTATTCCATCATATTCCCAAACCAAAAAATAGCGAGTTTTTGGCTTTACTGCAAATGATGGAAAAAAGCAGCATTTTCCAAAATATTCCCAAACCAAAAAATAGCGAGTTTTTGGCTTCACTGCAAATGATGGGAAAAAGCAGCATTTTCCAAATCTTGCTATAAGGATGATCAGCCAAAAAAAAGGCTACTAAACGGCCACTTGGAATATTTGTGCATGTTCTGCAATAAGACAGATGATGTAAGCAAGCATCTTTCATCCAGCATTTTAAGTCAGAAACAAACCCTGGAATTACCTTGATCGCATCTTCTCCATATTTTGATTTACCAATCCTCTTACTACTTGACCCTTGCTCAGACGTCACCAAACCTTCAACCTTCGGCCTCTTTCCACGCCTTCTCTCTTTTGCATTTTGATTTTTGATCTGGCTGAAATTAGTACTCATTTCACTACTTTCAGTCTGATCAGATGACTTTTGAGCAGTTTTAGGACTTGTACTCTTTCTTTTTGGGGAAATACTGTCACATCCTTTATCACCAGAATTGGAAGAGATACTCCTACACATCCCCTTCAACTGACAATGTATAATATAAAGCAAAATAAGCAACAACATCACCCGGATTTCAGCTAAGGAAACAAATTTTGACACTGCAAGGATTAAGGCTACCTTTGAAATGAAGAACATGGTAGGAGAAGGGAAAATATTCAAAGTTTCAAACGATAAAAGTTATTTATGTTTGAATTTACTTGGAACATACAATGAAAATAGATGGGTTTAACCTTTTGGAATATTTCACTTTACTTTTATTTCTTAGTGTTTATTTAATAGAAATATATGACTATAATGAGTTCCAACAAATACCTAAAACCGACTTATTGAGTTTGACTTTGACCCAATCTAATGTTTTTTCATGAAATGATCTTCCCAGATTCTCCTCTATTTTGTTTCCCTAAGCTAAAAACATTTAAAAAAAATAGGAACAAGAAAATAAAGGAAAGACGATGCGTGCAAAAATGTTGAATTCATAGGTGCAAAAATTATACTACATCCATTCTCAATCAAGTGCAACATGTTGAATTTTACCTTATTCACATGATCTGCTTTAACTACGTTTTCTTTATTAATGTATTCAAAACTTATTTTTTTTAAACATTGTTAATTTTGGGCTAAAGGGTCAAATAGGCCCTCGAATTAACTTAAAAAGTGAAAATCACCCCTTATATAGGAGGCTCTGTCTGGCCGTCGCCATTTGGGGCGGTTCCCGGTGGAATTTTTTGATGATTTTTTTGAGCATCTTCTTCATTAAGTCTAGTTTACCCATACCAAATTTCAGATAAAAATTAAATCGGGAAGACAGTCAAATGATTTTCTGAAATCTAATGCGCTGTTAAACTGCGCAGTTATCTTCAAAAATTCATTTGACTGTCTTCCCGATTATTTTTTAGCTGAAATTTGGTATGAGTAAACTAGACTTAATGAAGAAGATGCTCAAATTGTTTTATCACAATATTCAACTGGGAACCGCCCCAAATGGCGACGGCCGGACAAAGCCTTATATAAGGGGTGATTTGCACTTTTTAAGTTAGTTTGAGGGCCTATTTGACCCTTTAGCCTTAATTTTGCCTTACAATAAATTTTAAAAATTTGATTTTTAATTTTTTTTAAGATGGAGAATTAAATATATTAATGGTTAAGTTGTTCATCAGCAAACGTGAAAAATGGAATGTCGCACTTATTTAAGAATGGAGGTAGTAATAAAGAGAATCTCACATCATGCAACTTATTGTCATCCTTAGGGTGCATATCTTCATATACAAGTTCATCGTTGGACTGTAGGTGTGGTGCGTCATCCTTAGGTGAACATTCCCCTGCTCCAGCACCTATTTCAAGGTTTCCAAGTTGGTGTTGGCCGGGGGACCCACCAACATCCTCAGAATCAGAGGAAAAATCTGAACTTGAACTTTCCTGCATCTCCTGATCAGTATCATGGCCCGGAGCACCTGGATCATAATCCTCATCTTCGGAATCCTCTGAAGGAAGCCCCATCACTTCCAGATTATTAAGTACTGGTGGTGCTTCAAAATCATCGGATGCAGAAAAATAGTCGCTTTCAACAGAAGAGGTAGATTTGTCCTCCTGTGAAGAATTTTGATCTACTTCCGGATTAGTAGCAGGGTTGTAGTCATCATCCTCAGAATCGTCTGATGGTAATCCAGAAATATCATCCAGCTTATTCCCTGTAGTGGCACTGGCTGCCTCCCCAGGAAACACCTTCTGAACACACAAACACACCAAAACAGCATGGTGAGCACTTGAAAATGGAAAAAATGGCAACATAGAGCAGATGTAGGTTTGACCTCCCAGCTGTCTCTAAGAGAAAGGTTTGTTCCTTGGAGATTATTGAGTAAGACAAAGCAATCCAATTTGCAGACACATCCAGGGCATAGCCAGGGTTCATCACCTGGTGGAACTACAATAGAGAATAAAGTTGTAATATAAAAAGACATAAGGTGATAAGGGGACATCTGGTTCACGAATGTACGATTACATTAGCTAATAGGAATGTAGGATTAATAGTAACGTGAGATTACAGGAATGTAAGATTACCTCAAAGAGGTGTTTGATTCCTGCAACGTAGGATTACCTTGGGTAATAACCTCCTAGAAAGTAATGTCAAAACTATTGGATGTAATTTTTTATTCATGAAATGTGCGCTACTCCTCACTATGAACTTTATACAGGGACACAGAAAGTATAACTTATGTTGTTAAGTCATTAGGGACAAAGGTGGAATAGTCTTATCAAAATATCACCAAGGTAACCTTACATTACCCAACAAACCCAAAGTAATCTCATTACGCCAACAATACCTCATTTTATTAAGAGGCAGTAATCTCAGATTTACCTTGATAATCCTGAAAACCTAAACAATACAAGGTAATCTCACACTACCAATGTAATGTGAGATTAGCAGAACCAAACATCCACAGGTATTTAATTTCTAATCTTTTTAATAGATTTGACTTTACTGTCTGCTTTTAACAAAGGTGGCTCCAAACACATCTGGTGAAACCCACGTACACAAGCGCCATCACACAGGATAATATCATTATCAGCTTGTAAATCCTTAGAACCACACTTCGCGCAGAATATCTGATACAAGCAATTTTAGAATATTTCAAGTCTATGAAGAGCAGTGCATTATCATTAGTGTAAGTACGATCTGACTACAACACAGCACAGAACATCACGTACATCTTCGCTGTCAATCTGTCCCTCAGGGTCAAATGATGATTCAGGAAGCCTTCCTGGAGCAAGCAGCATATCAATGTGTTGGAATAAGTCTCTGATTTTCAACTTGTATTTAAAAATTCCTGATTTTGCACGCTGTAGCTCCTTCTCAGGCTTGATTTTTTCTAAGCTGCAGATGCATAACAGATCATTATCCATTATGCTGATAAATGACTAGCAAAAAGAGCATTGTTTCAAGAACTCTTTTTGTTCCAAAAGAAGGGTCTGGCTTTAAAAGTCCGCTTACTTTTAAGGTAAATATACCGTAAAGCCAAATCAAAGGCGATTGTAGTCAATTACTCCAAACAGTTTTTGAAATAAGTTAAAAGGGGTATACGTGAAATTCACAATTTGTAAAAGCATGTACTCTAATTGGGTCATCCGGAAACAGTCTCTCTGTGCTTTAGTACAGGGGTAAGACTGCGCACATCCGACCCCCCACCCCATCGTAGGTGGGAGCCTTTGCGGCACTAGGGTAATGATGATGATGATGATGATGATGATGATGATGTACTTCGATTGAGATGCTTAAAGCGAAAAAAGTTTAACCTTACTTAAAAGTGCCTCTTGCGGACATGGAGAGTAATAAACAATTAAATACTACGTATTATGTTGAACATCGCTATAAGCAAGGCAATTGAGGAGCCTCTCTCATACTATAATTGCAAGGAAAAGAAAGGGTTTTCTTTGTAAATATGAAGATAAGATGACACTTACTAGTAAAAAAATAATTTGGTGAGATCAGAAATCCACTGGGTCTTTCCAGCAAGAATTCAAACATTTTAACATGTGAAATGGAATAAATACCTAGGCCAGCTCATTTAATGTCTATATATTTAATTATGTATCATGTCCATCATCAGACACAGACAACTAATCCAATTAATTATTTTAAAACCTATTCCCCTCCATTGGGACTATTTCAGACCATTGATTGATTTGATTCACAATATTTAAAAATGTGAGCTTAGTCATTCATAACTATTATTATAAAGATATATAGGTGAATAGGACCTGACAAACTCTGAGCAAGAATGTCACTGTCAAAATTACAGAATGTGGTAGCAACCCCCCACCCACCCACCTTGTGTAGAGAAGGGCACATGGTACAAACCTTTTTCCTTTCCATCCTTCAGTAGAGTAAGCATCAATTAAGTTTTGTTCATATGTTATCCGATGCAAAAAATATCTCAGTTTTACCCTTGTCCTTGAGAATTCATCAACTGAAACCTGTTTCATCTGCTTCTCTTTTCTCTTTATCGTATTATGATTAGTACAATTTTCAACTATGTCACTATCAGCTCCTCCAACAGCATTGTTTTGTTCAAAAGATTCAGATTTTTTTTGTTTTCTGCAACGAAGAACTCTTGGAAGGCTTACACCTGGTGGTTCTGTGGGATTTTTTTTTATATCATCCAAGTGCACTGTATTACCATCAGCATCTCTACATATCCTCAAAAACTCAACCTTAGATTCTTCAATCGTCGTTTTATCTTTCTCTCCATTGTTTCCTTTGCACCCTACAAACTCGGTATTTGCATTTGGATGATCATGCTCGCTAGAATTTGGTCCAAGTGAAGCACAGCTTGAGTTTGTGGCCATATTGTCCAAGTCAATCAATTCTTCACGACTTTCATTATCAGACCACACGAAAGAAGTGAAACCTGACCAACTATGAAAACTTTGAGTTCTTTAGAATGTATACAATCAGAACACTGGATGTCAGAGTCCCTTAATCCACTACAAAGAGTTTCACACACATGATGTCCTGGTCATGTTTTTGCAATTGATTAACTTCTCTGAATATCGGGTTATTCCTGGACATGAGCATATCCCCACTCAAACGTTTCCCTGCAATTAGATATAGCTTTCTGTTTATATGTATTTAGAAATGAAAAAAATTATGAGCCATGCTTTCCTTTCCTTTCCTTAAAAGGAAAATTATAATTTATTTAGGGATGTAGGAAGAATATTCTTAAGTGATATTCACAAGTCACAAAACAAAATTTCTCATCATAATTTGCAGTAAGATAAAATAGATAAAATAAAGACAAACTTAATTTAGAGTTATTTACGATAGGAAAAATAATTATGTTCATATTGCACACTGCTAGCTGGCCATCTGAAGACACTTGTATAACCAATACTAATGGAAATAAAAAGTGCTCGATGACACCATAACCCGGTCTGGGGGATATATACATAGAATATTTATAATTCATTGGTTGGAGGGATTTTATTGCGTTCTCTTTAGCGTATGGACTAGATCGAAAGCCTGGAACATCCTTGATATCGTGAAGTGACCCTCGCTTGAACATAATGGTATAGTTTGAAGGAAGTTCTCTTTATCCCTATGTATGAAATCACTAATAGTAGGACTTGGTTGCCTAATTCCTGCCCGGTTCATCCTCCTACGAATACCCAATGTGGACACTCGGGCTGGCTGGTAAGTCTTTAAAAAAGGCCACTTTGGTTTGACTGTCCAGACGGTTTAAGTGGATTCGGGAGATGACATCTAAAACTCTAAACCATCAGCCTGGCCAAGCCACGGAGCTTGGATACGGCTTCCCTATTAGAGATCCATGGATTACAGACGGTATCTCCCCATGGCCTATTGTCAACTCATATATATAGGGATAGATCTAACCATTCAATCCACCAGGGACAAAAATTTAAAAAACATAAAATAACTTCAATTTCACAAAAAAGTAAGATACAAAAAATACAAATTATTTACAAGAATGAGAGTTTCCATCTGAAGTCAAATACAAAAAACGCATCACAAATTCATAATTTTTCTCTACACGTTTTCATAGATTGATATCACTTGACACTGATATTATTGTCAATTTTGAAGAAGAAAATTTTTTCTACATAAACAAGAAGCCTATTATAGAGTCAGTCACCACTCATTTGATTGTTCAATGTATCCACCATGATTCATTACAGAAAAAACTCTTTTAACACTAGAGGTTGCAACACAAAGAATCAACGCCAAAGTCAAAATCTTGTAACCTCTTCATTACCTTTTTCAACTCTGCAACAATTCACCAAATCATATGATAAGGTAGAAGTAACGAAGAATGTTCTCACGATTAAATGGGATTAATTAATAATACATACAGCAACTGATAAGATATTGGAATTAATACTAAACAACGGCATAAATCACAAATTACAATCTTATTAATGCTAATTAGATTGATACTGAACAATGAAATTTAAAAACTTGAGGGTGAATCGAAGCTGGTGAAGCTTTTGATAGCCCTTGCAAAAGGGATGGCCTTGAAACTTTTGATTTATCACTATTTGCATTTGCTGCACTTTGTTTAGGTTCCATACATCGATGGGTCTTTGCTTAACTTCATATTCATATATGTTTCTTCTTAAACATCGAAGTGTGTGTTTGTAAAGAAATTGCAAGTCAAAACTGTTTATGAAGTTTGTAACTTTTGCACTAGAATTTAGAACTTAAAATGATTCACCCTGATCCCCCCCCCCCCCATTATTTATACTAATCAGACGGAGACAATATGATTCATGAAAAAACATTGCAAATTAATTATTAATTTATTTATCCATAAAAATAGCATCTAAAAAACAAAATAAAAAACAGATCTTTATAGTCTAATTCACGGACAAAGCAAAAAAGATTAACCGAAACTAGAGCTGAAAAAGTACAAACTAAAAAGTAAAAACAAAGAAACTGAAACTAACCCGAAGACGTATAGCGGATGTTGCGATGAGCTTGTTACTTGTAGCAGCAGCAGAGACAAGGGCGTAGAGGAATGATCAATGGACGAAGAGGTTCGGAGCGTGCTGCTACGTTGCTTAGCTGATACGGAGTACTACGTAATTGTTTGGGCTGATTCAAAATTTACATTTTATTAACTTTTTGCAAGAGTCCATATCTATTTCTCAATAAAATTGGGCCTCTAAACAGCCCGTGTGGATGTATTTCAGTTTTTCACTCTTTCCTGCTTTTAAGGATTTTCTAAATTGGATTGAATTTTCTAGTCATGCATGTTCCAGGGAAAATTGCTTAAATAGGAGTAAAAAATTTGAAACTTTCAAAATAGGAGTAATTATTTTCAGATTTGAAAAATTTTGTCATGTTTAAAGTCTGGTATTAGCAAAAACATGACAATAATTAATTTTATTCTGGGAATAAAAACATGATAGTTCTATTTTGAAATACATAAACGTTGTTTTTATTCTGGGAATAAAAACATGATAATTTCCCATGTTTATTCTATACTTCTTTTATACTTGTCGAGACCTAGTGGTCTGTTCTGATCTGGTATGGTCTGATATTTAAGTAAGTCTAGTTAAAAGTCATCCTCATTGTAGCTCTAATGTGTGTGTGTGTGTTAGAGATCAAATACAAACCATGTTTAATTTACTAACCTGCAAACTCAATAATATGCAACACTTTGAACTTCAATATGAAATATAAATAGGGAAAAAATAATAAAAATACCCCAAACTTTGAAGAGGTGTGAGGTAAGCACCCCAAACTTGCATATGTGATTTAAATACCCCAAATTTTATATGAACAATTATTTTAGCACCCTAGTTATGTATTGTCTTTTTCAAAAATGCCATTTTTTTTGTGTTAATTTCATAATTTAAAATATTTTAGCATTCATGAAGATACACTTAACATTCTAAACTTCCATTGTAAATAAATAGTACTATCCCCACTCTATATAATTGCAAAGTTTTCAATTTGATACTTTAAATTATGCAATTAACATCATAAATATACATTTTTGAAAGAAATGATATACTTCGTGTAATCATGGTGTTAAAATAACATTTTATATAAATTTGGGTATTTAAATTACATATGCAAGTTTGGGGTGCTTATCTCACACCCCTTCATAGTTTGGGGTATTTTAATTATTTTTCTCATACAAATAATGTAGAGATGCACACTTTAAAATTTAATATGCAATACAAATAATATGCAACACTTTAAACTTCAATATGCAATACAAATAATATTCAACACTTTCAATTTTAATATGCAATATTAATAATGTAAAGATGCACAGTTTGTGACAGTTTGTAGGTGACCGTGGGAGGATTAGTTTGCATGTGATCTCACCCATATATATACATATATATATATACACACATATATATATGTATACATAAATATATGTATACATATATACACACACATATATATATATGTATATACATATATATGTATATATATGTATATATATACAGGATTATTCCTGTCCGGAATTTGTATATGTGTATATATATATATATATATACATATATATGTATATATATATATAAATGTATATATATAGACAAATCTTCATGTCAGGCCGGCCTGACGGGATGCTTCGTCCGGCCGAGCCCGTTTGGGCACCTTCCCGGTGGAATTTTTTGATGAATTTTTTTGAGCATGTTTCTCATCAAGTCTAGTTTGTCCATATCAAATTTCAGCTCAAAATTCGATCGGAAAGGCATTCAAATCATATTTTGAAGTTGACTGCGTCAAAGTATACATATAAAACTACAGTCAACTTCAAAAAATGATGTGAATGCCTTCCCGATCGAATTTTCAGCTGAAATTCGGTATGGACAAACTAGACTTGATGAGGAACATGCTCAAAAAAATTCATCAAAAAATTCCACCGGGAAGGTGCCCAAACGGGCTCGGCCGGACGAAGCATCCCGTCAGGCCGGCCTGACAAGAAGACCTCTCTCTCTCTCTCTCTCTATATATATATATATATATATATATATATATATACACACACACACACACACACACACAGGATTATTCCTATCCGGAATATGTATTTTCCGGACCAGTTAACTTGCAAAAATCATTTGACGATCTTCCCGATTGATTTTTTTGCTGCAATTTGGTACGAATGAAATAGACTTGATGAGGAACATACACAAAAAATTTGAACAAAAATTACCACCAGACAAAAATTTGAGCAAAAATTTGCAAAGATTACTCTCTCTCTCTCTCTCTCTCTATATATATATATATATATATATATATATATATATATAAATATAATAGAGATCAAATACAAATCCTTCTTAATTTACAAAGTACAAACTCATCTTGACTGTCTGATGAGTTGATCCAAAGGACATAAAGGCAAGGTGACATTTTTGTAATATAACTCAACTTTTTTAGGGTGCAACTCGTTGAACGTTAATGTGCAACTGCTATTTTATAGTTGAATAATATGTACTACTTTTTGAACCTCAATATGCAATACAAAGAACTTTAAGGTGCATCGTACAAATGTTCGCACAATAAGCACAGTTTGTACTTGATCTTTCCCCTGTATATATATAGAGAGAGAGAGGAATCTTATGTTAGATATCAATTAAAGTACCATCTAGTACCTACAACTACCAACTTAAATATTACTCTCACCATCCCATAAAATTCTTCCCACTTTCCTTTTTGGGCTGTCCAAAAAAATTCTCCCCACTTACCATTTTTGGACAATTTGTGTCGTTCACATTCATTTCACCTTTTTCTTACACAACCACAACCATACATTTCCACTTCATTTCACTTTCTTAATCTCCGTGTCAAGTTATACTAGGAAGAATTTTGTTGGACGGAGGGAGTACGTAGTACTACATAAATTATATATATTTTTTAAATAATAACTATATTTATTTATAGTTAATGTAAATATATTTAATGTAATCGCATATATATAGTTAATGTAAATAATAACTAATAAAGAACATTTCTACTTATATATTTAATGTAATCGCATGAGTGATTTTTCATAACAATGATTTTTGTGCACTTTTCAACGTTATATTGTGTGCAATCATTTACAAATTGAAATTGATATTGCATTCACCCTTCGTATTTCGAAGAGTACTACATATAGTTTTGCCACATTATTGAAGGAGAAAAATAGTAGAGGTAATAAATAGTGTAGAAAAAGTGGAAGGGATGTTATAAGAGTATGAAAGAAAGGTAAAAAGTAAAACAGTAGGGGTAATTGTATATTTTGAAATGCAAAAGTTATAAAAAATGAGAAGTTGAAAACTTTTAAATACATTTTAAAATAGAAAGTGTAGCAAAGTTTAAAATACGGAAGAAGTATTTAAAATGTAAAATGAAACAATGATATTGTAAATGTATATAGTGGACACAAAGGGTATGATAAGTGGCACGACGGGTGGATTCTCAATGAAGCATGTCGAGGGATGGATCAAACAAGGTTGGATATTTATTTACACAGAAAAACTCTTATACATACCGAGTTATATTATTCTATTCAAATGAATAAGATCAAATAATTTTACGCTATTTCCTTATTTTCTATTTTCTATTAGGATAAATTTCATACTCATCAAGTTGTGGAATATACTATCGTCTTAAACATAGACTATAGTATATTTATAGGGGTGGTTCGGTACAGTGTACCTTATATTTTTTCTCATATCTTTGCCGTACCAAATTTAAACTTTCGGTATGCAAAATTTTCATACCTTTACCTTACCGAAGTTTCGGTTCGGTATCGGTAAATTACCGTGCATAATGTCTCCCAATACAAAAAATATCATAGACTAACGAAACATACTAAATCGTTATTACTAGTGACATATTAAATCTATTATTAAAATGTTACGAAATACAATTAATAATCTATTGATGTCAATTCAATATTGAACAATAATTATTATTAGTATATTTAAGCAGTTCAACATGTCACATATTAAAAAGTAACACATTCTCCTAAAGTAACTTGAACAATATAGATATAATTAAATCAATAGTGATCTCTAACAAAAATAAACAAAACTATTCAGAGAACATATGCATGGATATAAAATCATTTACTTCTAATATGATATTGTGTATTTAGTCATTTTTATAATTTTTTAAAAATTGAATAAGCCTTTCGGACGACGGACAAAGTTGTGTGTCTCGACCCGCGGAATCCCTATGTAAATACACTTGTCACATAAGTGTATCTCTCTTCACTCGTCAGCTACTTAGTGGCCCAGCCATCACAACTAGCAAGCTTTAGGAACAAGATGGACTTGTTTCTTGACATTCTTACATTACTCATTAGTCATTAAGCTAAGGTTAGTGTAGTAAAAGCCTATAAGGTTATAGTGGATTTGAGAAATTGGGCCTTTATTTTTGTATTTTTGTATTTGTAACCAACTTAAGTATTAATTTGGGCTTCAAAATTGTAATGGATTTTTACAATATATTAGAATTAAAAGTAATTGTCGAGTAGGGAGTCGGTACGGTATTTCCGGTATTTTTTGGTACGGTAAGTGCGGTATACCGATTTTTCGGTATTTTTGCCCATCCCTATATATTTATATGTCATGTATGTGGTCTTAAAAGTCTGAAATTTGCCATTTTGGACTGAACATTATGAAAAAAGTCTGAAATTTCCATATTAACATTCTTTATCAAAATCGTAATTTTTTTTAATCTCATATATATACGTTATAGAGTGCTATATATAGAGACCAGTTAAACATTAGTTGTTAAACATTAGTTGATAAGTTGCCATTTTATTCTCTTAAGTAAGCTGGTAGGATTATGAGCTATCTCCTTTTTAACTATATTATAAAAGTAATATACCCTAGCCGAGAGCTGAGGGTTTTCCTTCGCCGTTCAGCGTGCGGCGCGATCGAGGGCAGACCAACGCGACGGAGGTAGAAGTCTGGAGCAGAGGTTTTGAGGTGTGATGGAGAGTACCGATGATGAGGCGTGCATGGAGGGTCGCGAGTGGGAGACTGGACACGTTGGTGGGATCGGTTCTGCGTCGTTTGGTGTGCAGCGTCGAGAAGGTGGTCACCGGCCGAGACGAGGGGCAGAGTTCAGAACAGTGGTGGAGTTGGAGGCCGCTGGTGACGAGGGGAGCAGTGAGCTTTGCGCAT